AAAAAAAAACAAGAAAATCAGATGAACAGCAATGAAACATCTTACTGCCATGAAAGCAAAAAAATCCCCAAAACTCTGCTTTTTCTTGAAAGATTCATTAAGCCGATGGTGCTTTATCAAATCAGTACCTACCAATTCGGTATTCGAAGTCCGCAAAGAATTCGTGAACGATTGCTGTAGCAGTGACATCATAGTTCCGGCAAGCGGATCGCGACATGTGATCATCGCCATTCCGGCGGTCATTGCTCGCATCTGCAATTAAAAAATTGTTTTAATTGTATGTATGAAGTCCCTTGATTATTCCACCATATGAAACGCCGCCTTCTTCATGTTCTCCTCAACAGGATCGAGCGCAAAATCTTTGCGTACAAGGGTTTCCGTGACGATCATAGCTATCTTCAGAGCTCTTTCAGCCACAGGCCCTGCGAAAAGGAGTTTTAAAAACTAAACTGATGTAGAAAAATTCAAAGCATAAAGCTACCAATGAGCTCCTTGATAGCTTGCGTCAAGGCTGGTCGGACATGATGTTTCATATGCGGATGAAGCTGAAATCAAATTCAATGGGCTTCCCAGCTGAGCCAGCTTTTTAAGTAAATTTGTGCTCAGATCTTACCTGAAACAATGGCAAGGACAACTGCACTTTGATATGAGGTATGAGGCCCTCATAGGACGTCACATTGATGTCATGATATGCAAAGTGAAGTGGTGGTATTATAACTGCACCGGCACTTCCTTCAACAATCGCTGACGATCCTTCTGATTCCGGATTCGGTGTCGAAGGCTATAATACGCTAGATAAGTGCGGTTATGAATCAGGCTCAGACTACGCCAACGCAATGTTAAATATTGTTGGATTATTCAGGCGCAGCAGTAGCAAAAAAATTAACTACAGGTTGAAAGTGATCCCTTCTCTGACAAAACACAAGCCGAAATTTGACAGCTTAAATTCTCTACGAACCAAGTGTTTAAACATCAGTCTCAAAAGAATCTCTTCGCCTAACAATTACAGAATAGAACATGTGAAAGAGTTCACACCAGGTCTAGTTGTTATTTGCGTTCATAATAATATCAGAAGGAATACGTGAACTGATAATGATCACTTAGTCACTTGTCCTCTCTAATTGCGCAAATGCACGCGCATTTTATTCAAGGTTGGCTAAAGTTCTTTCAGCATTTACAATTCTTTGAATAGTAGGAACAAACTGCAAAAAATCATCACTTCATAAATGACAAAAGACAACCATTCTAGAAACCAAAAAAGATCGAAACCACGAACCGCACACACCCCTCGCAAAACAGCAACCATAGCAATCAATTGCTCTATTGAAAAAACATTCTATACTTTACCTTCTTTTACCTTTCTTCTCTAAACTGTTAGTCTTTTATAAGCCTTTAGCATTCCATTCAACTCTGTATTAATAAAAGTGCTAGCAGACACGTCAGTGCTTTCGCAACTAAATCCACAGCAAAAAAGCAAAAATCGATAGTCAATCGATAAACAACTGATCAATTACGCACCTTGGTATCCACACCAGGCATTGACACCGAATCCGGTGCAAGCCGCATTTGTCCCGGCACAGGGCTGCTGTTCGCTTGATCTGGTTGTTGCAACGTCTTGAGGTCTGATAGTTGTTGTGTGACCCTCACAAGACGGTCTGTATCTTTGAGAATGCCCTCGACGGGCAGCGACTCCAAATCCACCGACAGTTCCTTGCAGAGCACCTATAATGAATACGTATGAGGACGTATATGTTTACTTTCGTTGTTCCGTCGTGTTTTTTACTGCTCCAACACGTGAATCGAATGTTGGAAAATTGGGCAACTGTGCGAGGAATAATCGATAACTGTTGAACACGACTCACCTCTATCTCGAACTTTAAATTGATCTTCAAGTCGGGTTCGTTGTGTAGTTCGGCTAACACTTTCAATATGGAGCGTATCCAAGCACATGTTGGACTGAACAGCTGGAAAAAAAAGCATATGAGGAAAAAAGTAAGCGAGGTGTCTTCGCTGATATTACGAGCTATAATTAAGAAATGGTTTGGGATTTCAAAACAGAACCACAACGAAAGACTATGCTTGAAAGAGATGAAGTTTTTAGCTTCAATATTTACAATTTTGCGACTTTCTGGTTGATAACTCACATGAATACTACTAGCATCATATTAACTTATAACTTAACAAGTGCACTAATTAAACTTCTCAACTAAGCTCGACTAACTGATAACAAATTAGCAGTTTTGATGCAGTAATTGCAAATGCTACTGCGAAACCTGTTCTGCAACCGCTGAGTCACATCGGTCGCAATTTATTCGCGAAAATCAATAAGCGTCTGGAAAAACTGAGACAAAGACGAGAATGTAAGTAACACGCGATTATAGGAGCAACATCGGTCTAGCTGTTGAAAATGCTGTTGAGGATTTTGAACCAGATAAATAGTCTTTAAGAAAATACACTAAGAAAGAG